TCCGCCTCCTCCTCCTCCTTATCCCCCTTCCCCTCGTCCTTCCTCTCCTCCTTCTCTCCTCCTCCTCCTCCTCCTCCTCGTCCTCCTCCTCTTCCTCCTTCCTGTTCCTCCATTCCTCATCTTATAAGTAACCTTTCCCTGTCGCACAATGAGACCGTTCAAAAGGGCGGTCTGGGCGTTTCGCCTGAGACTTCCCTACCATGTCTGACCCTGAAGCTCAACACCTGGCTACAGTTTCACATATGGAGGGCGGGTCGTTCTCAACATGTGGGTCTTGCCTCAGTGCCGCGCATATTCTTTGTTTAAGGCTGCAAGAGTTTCACGGATCGAGACCCGTTCCTTTTCAAAATGTGGCTCTCGCCATTCGTTTTCAACACATCGCAAGAGTTTCACCGATTCAGGACGGTTCCTTTTCAAATTGTGGCTCTCGCTGTGGCGCCTCGCAAATTTGTTTCTTAAATTGCAAGAGTTTCACGGACTCCCATGGTCATTTACCAGGAATGGTGTTTTTGAAAGATTCAGGATTATGACGGTGCAGCGGTTACGTTGATTCGCGGTGATGAAATCCCAGGAATGTCGTTCTGGCACCATTTACGATCGTCGAGACGCAACAGTCAGTTTGATCCGTGGCGTTGGAGTCCCGAGAATTATTTGATGGTATGCTTCAGGGTGTCAAACGGCTGTCTTCCACCGATGCAGTTCGCTCAGTGGAAATGAACCCTTGTAGGGGCCTATGAAGATGGAACTTGGAGAGATGGTTTATCCCAACATCGTTGATGACCCTTGGGTTTACAAAGGTCCTCCTCCTCCTCATCATCCCTTCTCTTCCTCCTCCTCCTCCTCCTCCCTCCTCCTCCTCCTCCTCCTCCTCCTCCTCCTCCTCCTCCTCCTCCCTCCTCCACCTTTTCTCTTGCGCAGGCTGGAGGGCACGCGGTTGCGCCCGTAGCGTCTGCCTCCCTCTTTCCCTCGACCTTCCCCTTGTGTGCGTCGACCCCCCATGCAGGGGCGACGCGCGCGCCGAGAAGCCTCCTGGCATAGGCGCGGTGGCGGGCGCTTTCTGTCCATGCCGCTCGGGGAACGGTATGTCTACGAGATGGTCATGCTATATCTTCGGGCTGGTCGCACGCTTTCGAGGAGGACACATGGTACTAGTATGTCCTTGTGCGTCCCACCAACCCCTCCCAAGACTTCCAAAGCACTGAAACATTAGGTTCCCAGGTTTTCCGCCGTTATCGGCCTCCAGTGGCCTCCGCTGGGCCCCGGGGCCATCCGAGCACGGCTCGGGGGGGGGGGGAGAGCCGGCCCAGGCAAGAGGGTCGGGGCTTCGAGGACCGCGCACAGCCAACCCGCACAGTGTCGCAGGCCCAGAGGTTGACACCAACACCGATTTCGGCGGTGTGCCTCCACCGAGGGAAGAAGATCCCGATCTCGGTAATGGGGGCAACATTCTGGCATCCCAGGTGGCCGAAACATAACCACCAACGCCGAAATCTAGGATCATCTTCCCCCTGTGGAGGCAACACCCTCTGTTGGTGTTGGTGCCCATGTCCAGGCCTCCGCTAGTAAGGGTGGGCAATTTTTCCAAGGGTATCCCTTGCATGCTTGCCTCCTCGGTCCATCCTTGGCCACCTTCGCTGGCCGCGCCCCGCCCGAAAAGCTTCGAAGCGACCTTCCAAAAGGCCCTTGGATCCTTCTAGTGCATTTAATCGCTTCGCTCATGCCGCCGGCCCTGGAGCCCTCTTTAGGGCCTCTTGGGGGCCTCTTGGGGACCTCTTGGGAGTCTCTTGGGGCTCCTTGGCGGCGTTTTGGAGGCCCCCAGGGCCTCTTGGGGGGCTCTTGGGGGTAGTCGATTGCGGCTCCCCCCTCGGAGGCCACGATCCTCGTGAGGGGTGTCGAAAAATACCCTCCCCTGGAGTGGTCTGGTGGCTTCTCCCGGGCTTCTCTCGGGACCTTGCCGGGGTACTTTTCGTCCGGGGGCCCCCAGGGGCCGCTCCGCGCGCGCGAACTAGAAATATTGTTAACAAGTTACCGGAGATCTTAGCACGCCTCTGGCCCGTTGGGCCGGCGAATTTTTATGATGCAGGCCGATGGTATTTAGCAAAAACAATGCACCGGATCTCTGGGGCCTTCTTCCCCTTGCCCGGAGTCACGGTGAGATTGTCTTCTCTTCTTTGGCGCGTCACGGTCGTTGCCCCGACCCCCCCTCCCCCCCGGGTATCTGTAGCGATCGTACGTAGGGCGAGGGTGGGGCCTGGACCCCTCCCCCACATGCTGGTGCTCGCGCGCGCGCGCGTGCTACGGCGATCGCAGCGCACCCCCGTTCCGACGTGCCCCACCCCGCCCGTACGTTACTTTTACCCGCCCCCGCACCCCCAGAAAGCGACCGTTACCAGAAATCATATGGTTAGCCAGCGTGGACCCCGAACCGTGATTCACTTGCGATCTTGGCGGTGCAGTCTAGATGTTGCAGTCAATGTGGTGCAACCTAGGTGGTGCAATC